TAAAAGAAGAATTATAGTCACATCTTTGATATGTTTATTCATATCACCTTTGTGATGTATGTTGTGATCTTTTCACTTCATCTATATCTTCGCTAATAAGTATAAGAAATATTACACCAAAAGAAAACTGAGTTATCAATCATGATGCTAAAAGCTGTCTAGGAATCATAATATTATTACAGCTTTTAAAGCTGTCTTTGAACTATATACGTAAAAACTTTAAAGCCTCCTTTCGTCTTTCCTCTCAGAAGATTTTCAGCAAGTATCAAGTATAACAAAGAAATTATTCTTATTTTAACCCCGAAAGACTTATTCAATATATGCCATGATTAGCCATCTAAGATTCAAGCATTATTCAAAATTTTAAAAGTAGAATTGTAGTAACATCTTTGATATGTTGATTCTTATCACCTTTGTGATGTATGTTGTGATCTTTTCACTTCGTCTATATCTTCAATAATAAGTATAAGAAATATTACACCAAGAGAAAACTGAGTTATCAATTATGATCCTAAAAGCTGTCCAAAAGTCATAATATTATTACAGCTTTTAAAATTGCCTTTGAACAATATAGGTAAAAACTGTGCAGCCTCCTTCGTCTTCCCTCTAACAAGATTTTGAGCAAGTGTTAAGTATAACAAACAAATTATTCACATTTTAACCTCGCAAGAATTATTCAATATACGCTATGATTAGATATGTAAGGTCAAGCATTATTCAAAATTTTAAAAGTAGAATTATAGTAACATCTTTGATATGTTGATTCATATCACCTTTGTGATGTATGTTGTGATCTTTTCACTTCGTCTATATCTTCAATAATGAGTATAAGAAATATTACACCAAGAGAAAACTTAGTTATCAATAATGATGCTAAAAGCTGTCGAAGAGTCATAATAATATTACAGCTTTTAAAGCTGCTTCGAACGATATACGTAAAAACTGTGGAGCCTCCTTCGTCATCCCTCTCAGAATATTTTGAGCAAGTGTCAAGTATAACAAAGAAATTATTAACATTTTAATTCCGCCAGACTTATTCATCAATATATGCCATGATTAGCCATGTAGGATTCAAGCATTATTCAAAATTTTAAAAGAAGAATTATAGTCACATCTTTGATATGTTTATTCATATCACCTTTGTGATGTATGTTGTGATCTTTTCACTTCATCTATATCTTCGCTAATAAGTATAAGAAATATTACACCAAAAGAAAACTGAGTTATCAATCATGATGCTAAAAGCTATCTAGGAATCATAATATTATTACAGCTTTTAAAGCTGTCTTTGAACTATATACGTAAAAACTTTAAAGCCTCCTTTCGTCTTCCCTCTCAGAAGATTTTCAGCAAGTATCAAGTATAACAAAGAAATTATTCTTATTTTAACCCCGCAAGACTTATTCAATATATGCCATGATTAGCCATGTAAGACTCAAGCATTATTCAAAATTTTAAAAGTAGAATTATAGTAACATCTTGCATATGTTGATTCATATCACCTTTGTGATGTATGTTGTGATCTTTTCACTTCGTCTATATCTTCGCTAATAGGTATAAGAAATATTACACCAAGAGAAAACTGAGTTATCAATCATGATGCTAAAAGATGTCCAGGAATCATAATATTATTACAGCTTTTAAAATTGCCTTTGAACGATATACGTAAAAACTGTGCAGCCTGCTTCGTCATCCCTCTCAGAAGATTTTGAGCAAGTGTCAAGTATAACAAACAAAATAATTAACATTTTAACCCTGTTATATACAGATAATACAATATATATTAATAACTAATTATAATACTAAAATAGAGATGATTGACATTATGTTGACAGGACTAATTAAGGAGGTAGATAGAACAAGAGAGTATTGTAGTAGGGTTAAGAAATATACAAGAGTTAGAATAAAGATACATACAGAAAGAATATTACATTGGCGACGAGAATGGCAGAAGAAAACGTCCAAGAAGATAATACAAATGTACAAACAGTGACATCGTCTCTTTCGATACAACCCATAGCAGAATTCAACCCAGACATAGAAATCGGTGCTAGCTTAGCGACGCGATGGAACACATGGCTCGCAGACTTTGAAATGTTTCTACTCGCTAGTGGAATTCAAGATAAAAGGCGACAAAGAGCGCTTCTTCTTTATCAAGCTGGCTCGCGCATCCGTGAGATATTTCGACAGTTAAATGATACAGGTGATGACGATGACTATGAGCGTGCCAAAACAAAACTTAGGGAATACTTTGAACCACAAAAAAATCGCCGCTATGAAGTATACAAATTTCGAGAAGCTAAGCAGGAACAATCGGAAACTTTAGAACAATTCCATACCCGATTACGAAAGCTTTCTCAAACCTGTGGGTTCACTGATGTTGACTTCGAAGTAGAACAACAGATAATAATGGCAGGGACTTCTTCAAGAATACGCAAGAAAGCCCTAAGAGATCCTCAGTACACACTCAAAGATATCCTTCTCGATGGCCGCAGGGATGAGCAGAGTAAATATCAAGCCCGAGACATAGAATCAAAGGACCAGAACAGCAACAGCATAGCCCCAATACAATCAACGAGAAGATGTCATTTTTGTGGCGGTTCATATCCCCATCAAGGCGTTTGCCCAGCGAAAGGGAAAAGTTGTCATAAATGCGGTAAGCAGAATAATTTTTCTAAAGTATGTCGCGGCAAGCCTAAACGAGACAATACTACACGAAATTACTATAAGAAACAAGAGGGAAAAACCAGCAAACGACACCTAAACCCTCTGAAACCCAATGAGAGCGATCGTTCAGACAGTACTGATGAAAATGAAGATTATTTATATTCTGTACGTAGTAAAAACACTCCCAAAGTCCGTGTTACTGTCTGCAAATCCTCTTTTGACGCGACAATAGATACTGGTGCAACAATTAATGTTATAGATAAGTATACGTATGAGAAAATGGACGGTGTAAAGTTGAGAAGTACAAACATTAAGGCATTTGCATATACCGCTGATAAACCAGTTAAATTTATTGGAAAATTCGAGGCATTAGTAGAGACACATAAAAGAGTCACAGTCGCAACATTCTATGTAGCTAATAGCCCGGACAGTGGGAACCTTATATCTGCTTCGACTGCCCAAGAGCTTGGATTAATAAGTTTACATATACATGGTGTCACGCAAACCAATCGAGACGGAAAAATCGATCAGATTTTAAAGAAAAATGAGAGAGTTTTTCATGGTTTAGGCAAGTTAAAAGGTGAGCAGATAAAATTAAATATTGATTCGACACACCCACCAAAAGCGCAGCCACAAAGGCGTATCCCTTTTCACGTACGAGAAAAAGTGAAAGCCGAATTAGAACAGTTAGAGCGTAGTGACATTATTGAACGAGTACCAGAGTCACAACCAACCCCATGGGTTTCTCCCATAGTGATAGTCCCCAAAAAGGATGGCGGAGTGCGTCTGTGCGTTGACATGAGACAAGCAAATTCAGCGATTAACCGAGTTAGACACCCAATACCGACAGTAGAAGATATTCGACTTGAACTAAACGGTGCGAAATGGTTTTCAAAACTAGATCTTTCACAGGCGTACCATCAATTAGAGTTAGAAGAAAATAGTCGTTATATCACAACTTTTAGCACTCATGAAGGACTATTTAGATACAAACGTTTGAATTACGGGACTAACGCAGCCGCAGAGATTTTTCAGTTCACTCTACAAGAACAATTGAGAGGATTACAAGGCGTTAGGAACATTGCGGACGACATAATAATTTATGGGAAAACGAGACAAGAACATGATGAGAACTTAGATAAATGCTTACAGAGGCTTTACCACAAGGGATTGCAACTTAACAGATTAAAATGCACATTTCTAAATAAAAGCTTAGACTTTTTTGGACAAGTCTTTTCAGAAGGTGGAACGAAACCAGATCCCAAACGCGTAAAGGACTTACAAAATGCACCAACGCCCACAAATGTACACGATGTCCGAAGTTTATTAGGCATGGCCAATTACAGTAGTCGCTATATCGCAAACTTTGCCACAATAACAGCACCGTTACGTGAGTTGACAAAAAAAAATACGAAATTTGAATGGCGAGACGTTCATCAGAAGGCATTCCAACAATTGACATCTGCACTATCAGCGAACGAGTGCATGGCATATTTTGACACTCAAAAGGACACATATATCACAGTAGATGCAAGTCCAGTAGGTATATCCGCTATTTTATCACAATCAACGCCAGGCAAAGATGATGAGAGAGTCGTAGCCTACGCCAGTCGGGCACTGACGAAAGTTGAAAAGCGATATGCACAAAAAGAGCGTGAAGCCCTAGCAATCGTCTGGGGAATAGAACACTTCCATCTCTTCATATATGGTTCGCATTTCACATTAGTCACTGACCACAAGCCTCTTGAGGTCATATACGGCAACAGAAACGCAAAAGCATCTGCCCGTGTTGAGCGCTGGGTTCTGAGACTTCAACCTTATTCATTCAAAGTTATTTATAGACCAGGACGAACGAATCCTGCTGATTATCTCTCTAGGCACCCAGTAGAAACAAGCTTCGAACAGCAACGCATGACCGAAGAATATGTGAACTTTATCGCACTCAACAGCGTTCCGAAGACCATGACAATTGAAGAAATTATAAAAGCGACGGATGAAGACGAAGTGTTAAAAGGTGTTCGAGCAGCAATCAAACTAAATAAGTGGGACTACAACATTGTTAAACAGTTCAAGCAAATCAAAGACGAGCTGTCCGTTACAACGAAAGGAGTTATACTCCGTGGTGCCAGAATAGTAATTCCAGAAAGCCTTCAACAAAGAGCCATTGATATTGCTCATGATTGTCATATGGGACTAACAAAGACCAAGGCACTTTTAAGAGAAAAAATATGGTTTCCTAATATAGATCAATTAGTGAAAGACACCGGGCGAAATGCATTCCATGTCAAGCGGTAGGAAAGCCAAAACCACCAGAACCTCTGTCTATGACGAGCATGCCAAAGGGACCTTGGGAAGTTATTCATGCCGATTTCTACGGTCCGTTACCATCTGGAGAATATCTTCTAGTAGTGATCGATAGATACTCCAGGTATCCAGAAGTGGAAATCGTGTCGTCAACTAAAGCTTCAACGGTTATACCTAAGTTGGACAAAATGTTCGCAACGCATGGCATACCAGATACGTTAAAAACGGACAATGGCCCTCCTTTTAACGGAGAAGAATATCGACGATATGTTCGAGCGTTAGGAATTAAAGTATTATATTCCACACCATATTGGCCGCAAGGTAATAGCGAAGCCGAACGATTCATGCAGCCCTTAGGCAAAGCTTTAAGAACTGCTAAAGCCGAAGGAAGACCGTGGAGACAAGAGCTAAACAGGTTTCTACTTCAATACAGAACAACGCCACATTCGACTACCAAAGTACCACCGTCGGAGTTAATATTCAATCGTGTGGTAAAAGGCAAACTTCCAATGATCAGTAAACGTAACATTGTGAACAGACACAAACAAGCACGAGAGAATGACAAGGCAGGAAAAGAGTATAACAAGCAGTACGCAGACAATCGTCGGAAAACTAAACATCGTAACATCGCTGTCGGTGATAGTGTTTTGGTTAGACAGAGAAAACAAAACAAGCTGACAACAAATTTTGACACCACACCATATCGTGTTATAGGAACAAACAGATCGCAAGTTACAGCACAAAGTAAAGATGGACACAAAATAACAAGAAACGTGTCACACTTTAAACGTATCCCCGGGAAAAAAGTAGAGGTAGATACTGACGTCGATGACGAAGAGTATAAAGGAAAAGATGCAGAGAATGCGAAGGCAGGACAGAACAATTCTCAATCGACACCCGAAGTTCCACTGAACATAGCTAGGAGATCAACGAGAGACAGAAGAGCACCGCAAAGATACGGTAACCCATTAATGTGGAAATAAACACTTTCTCAAAAAAGGGGAGTGATGTAATATACAGATAATACAATATATAATAATAACTAATTATAATACTAAAATAGAGATGATTGACATTATGTTGACAGGACTAATTAAGGAGGTAGATAGAACAAGAGAGTATTGTAGTAGGGTTAAGAAATATACAAGAGTTAGAATAAGGATACATACAGAAAGAATATTACAAACCCCGCCAGACTTATTCAATATATGCCATGATTAGCCATGTAGGATTCAAGAATTATTCAAAATTTTAAAAGAAGAATTATAGTAACATCTTTGATATGTTTATTCATATCACCTTTGTGATGTATGTTGTGATCTTTTCACTTCATCTATATCTTCGCTAATAAGTATAAGAAATATTACACCAAAACAAAAATGAGTTATCAATCATGATGCTAAAAGCTGTCCAGGAATCATAATATTATTACAGCTTTAAAAGCTGTCTTTGAATTATATACGTAAAAACTTTAAAGCCTCCTTTCGTCTTCCCTCTCAGACGATTTTCAGCAAGTATCAAGTATAACAAAGAAATTATTCTTATTTTAACCCCGAAAGACTTATTCAATATAAACCATGATTGGCCATCTAAGATTCAAGCATTATTCAAAATTTTAAAAGTAGAATTATAGTAACATCTTTGATATGTTGATTCTTATCACCTTTGTGATGTACGTTGTGATCTTTTCACTTCGTCTATATCTTCAATAATAAGTATAAGAAATATTACACCAAGAGAAAACTGAGTTATCAATTATGATCCTAAAAGCTGTCCAAGAGTCATAATATTATTACAGCTTTTAAAATTGCCTTTGAACGATATACGTAAAAACTGTGCAGCCTCCTTCGTCATCCCTCTCAGAAGATTTTGAGCAAGTGTCAAGTATAACAAACAAAATAATTAACATTTTAACCCCGCCAGACTTATTCAATATATGCCATGATTACCCATGTAGGATTCAAGAATTATTCAAAATTTTAAAAGAAGAATTATAGTAACATCTTTGATATGTTTATTCATATCACCTTTGTGATGTATGTTGTGATCTTTTCACTTCATCTATATCTTCCCTAAAAGTATAGAAATATTACACCAAAAGAAAACTGAGTTATCATCATGATCTTAAAAGCTGTCCAAGAGTCATAATTATTACAGCTTTTAAAATTGCCTTTGAACAATATACGTAAAACTGTGCAGCCTCCTTCGTCTTCCCTCTCACAAGATTTTGAGCAAGTGTTAAGTATAACAAACAAATTATTCACATTTTACCTCGCAAGACTTATTCAATATATGCCATGATTAGCCATCTAAGATTCAAGCATTATTCAAAATTTTAAAAGTAGAATTATAGTAATATCTTTGATATGTTGATTCATATCACCTTTGTTATGTATGTTGTGATCTTTTACTTCGTCTATATCTTCAATAATGAGTATAAGAAATATTACACCAAGAGAAAACTGAGTTATCAATCATGATGCTAAAAGCTGTCAAGAGTCATAATTTTATTACAGCTTTTAAAGCTGCTTTGAACGATATACGTAAAAACTGTGCAGCTCCTTCGTCATCCCTCAGAAGATTTTGTGCAAGTGTCAAGTATAACAAAGAAATTATTAACATTTTACACCCGCAAGATTATTCAATATGCCATGATTAGCCATGTAAGATTCAAGCATTATTCAAATTTTAAAAGTAGAATTATAGTAACATCTTGCATATGTTGATTCATATCACCTTTGTGATGTATGTTGTGATCTTTTCACTTCGTCTATATCTTCGCTAATAGGTATAAGAAATATTACACCAAAAGAAACTGATATCAATCATGATGCTAAAAGCTGTCCAAGAATGATAATATTATTACAGCTTTTAAAGCTGTCTTTGAACTATAACGTAAAAACTTTAAAGCCTCCTTTCGGCTTCCCTCTCAGAAGATTTTCGAGCAAGTATAAGTATAACAAAGGAATTATTCTTATTTTAACCCCGAAGACTTATTCAATATTGCCATGATTAGCCATGTAAGATTCAAGCTATTAAAAATTTTAAAAGTAGAACTATAGTAACATCTTTCATATGTTGATTCATATCACCTTTGTGAGTATGTTGTGATTTTTCACTTCGTCTATATCTTCAATAATGAGTATAAGAAATATTACACCAAGAGAAACTGAGTTATCAATCATGATGCTAAAAGATGTCCAGGAATCAAATATTATTACAGCTTTTAAAATTCCTTTGAACGATATACGTAAAAATGTGCAGCCTCCTTCGTCATCCCTCTCAGAATATTTTGAGCAGTGTCAAGTATAACAAAGAAATTATTAACATTTTAACCCGCCAGACTTATTCATCATATATGCCATGATTAGCCAGTAGGATTCAAGCATATTCAAAATTTTAAAGAAGAATTTAGTCACATTTTATATGTTTATTCATATCACTTTGTGATGTATGTGTGATCTTTTCACTTTCATCTATATCTTCGCTAATAAGTATAAGAAATTACACTAAAGAAAACTGAGTTATCAATCATGATGCTAAAAGCTGTCTAGGAATCATAATATTATTAAGCTTTTAAAGCAGTCTTTGAACTATATACGTAAAAACTTTAAAGCCTCCTTTCGTCTTCCCTCTCATAAGATTTTCAGCAAGTATCAAGTTAACAAAGAAATTATTCTTATTTTAACCCGAAAGACTTATTCAATATATGCATGATTAGCCATCTAAGATTCAAGCATTATTCAAAATTTTAAAGTAGAATTGTAGTAACATCTTTGATATGTGATTCATTCACCTTGTGATGTATGTGTGATCTTTTCACTTCGTCTATTTTCAATAATAAGTATAAGAATATTGCACCAAGAGAAACTGAGTTATCAATCATGATCAAAAGCTGTCCAAGAGTCATATATTATTACAGCTTTTAAAATTGCCTTTGAACGATATACGTAAAAACTGTGCAGCCTCCTTCGTCATCCTTCAGAAGATTTTGAGCAAGTGTCAAGTATAACAAAATAATTAACATTTTAACCCCGCCAGACTTATTCATATATGCCATGATTACCCATGTAGGATTCAGAATTATTCAAAATTTTAAAGAAGATTATGTAAATCTTTGATATGTTATTCATATACCTTTGTGATGTATGTTGTGATCTTTTCACTTTCATTATATTTCCCTAATAAGTATAAGAAATATACACAAAAGAAAACTGAGTTATCAATCATGATCCTAAAAGCTGTCCAAGAGTCATATATTATTACAGCTTTTAAAATTGCTTTGAACGATATACGTAAAACTGTGCAGCCTCCTTCGTCTTCCCTCTCACAAGATTTTAAGCAAGTGTTAAGTATAACAAACAAATCATTCACATTTTAACCTCTCAAACTTATTCAATAATGCCATATTAGCCATTTAAGATTCAAGCATTATTCAAAATTTTAAAAGTAGAATTATAGTAACATCTTTGATATGTTGATTCATATAACCTTTGTTATGTTGTTGTGATCTTTCACTTGTCTATATCTTCAAATAATGAGTATAAAGAATTTACCCAAGAGAAACTGAGTTATCAATCATGATGCTAAAAGCTGTCCAAGAGTCATAATTTTTTACAGCTTTTAAAGCTGCTTTGAACGATTACGTAAAAACTGTGCAGCTCCCTTCGTCATCCTCTAAGAAGATTTCAGCAAGTGTCAAGTATAACAAACAAATAATTAACATTTTAACCCGCCAGACTTATCAATATATGCCATGATTACCCATGTAGGATTCAAGAATTATTCAAAATTTTAAAAGAAGAATTATAGTAACATCTTTGATATGTTATTCATATCACCTTTGTGATGTATGTTGTGATCTTTTCACTTCGTATATCTTCCTAATAAGTATAAGAAATATTACACCAAAAGAAAACTGAGTTATCAATCATGATCCTAAAAGCTGTCCAAAAGTCATAATATTATTACAGCTTTTAAAATTGCCTTTGAACGATATACAAAAAAACTGTGCAGCCTCCTTCGTCTTCCCTCTCACAAGATTTTAGCAAGTGTCAAGTATAACAAACAAATTATTCACATTTTAACCCAAGACTTATTCAATATATGCCATGATTAGCCATCTAAGATTCAAGCATTATTCAAAATTTTAAAAGTAGAATTATAGTAACCTCTTTGATATGTTGATTCATATCACCTTTGTGATGTATGTTGTGATCTTTTCACTTCATCTATATCTTCAATAATGATAAGAAATATTACACCAAGAGAAAACTGAGTTATCAATCATGATGCTAAAAGCTGTCCAAGAGTCATAATATTATTACAGCTTTTAAAGCTGCTTTGAACGATATACGTAAAAACTGTGCAGCCTCCTTCGTCATCCCTCTCAGAAGATTTTGTGCAAGTGTCAAGTATAACAAAGAAATTATTAACATTTTAACCTCGCAAGAATTATTCAATATACGCTATGATTAGCCATGTAAGATTAAAGCATTATTCAAAATTTTAAAAGTAGAATTATAGTAACATCTTTGATATGTTGATTCATATCACCTTTGTGATGTATGTTGTGATCTTTTCACTTCGTCTATATCTTCGCTAATAGGTATAAGAAATATTACACCAAAAGAAAACTGAGTTATCAATCATGATGCTAAAAGCTGTCCAGGAATCATAATATTATTACAGCTTTTAAAATTGCCTTTGAACGATATACGTAAAAACTGTGCAGCCTCCTTCGTCTCCCTCTCAGAAGATTTTGAGCAAGTGTCAAGTATAACAAAGAAATTATTACATTTTAACCCCGAAGACTTATTCAATATATGCCATGATTAGCCATCTAAGATTCAAGCATTATTCAAAATTTTAAAACTAGAATTATAGTAACATCTTTGATATGTTGATTCATATCACCTTTGTGATGTATGTTGTGATCTTTTCACTTCGTCTATATCTTCAATAATGAGTATAAGAAATATTA